TTTTTCAAGTGACAAAAAAAGCTATTTTGCAGAGAAAATTAATCGGTGTAGTGTGTTTTAAATGTTATTTGTCAGAATTTTACTGATTCGCATGCTCACTTCATAAGTGTTAAAAGGAAAAATTAATTTTGATTCCCACTCATGTTATACCATAACTGTGTGTCTTGAAGAACTTTTGATTTACCTGATAATACTTTATTTTTGAATATTCTATGTGTGGTAGATTGAGTCTAATTTCTGTTGTTAATATATGTTAATATAATATGAGTACAGTTTAAAAATAACATTTTTGTTAATAGATAGTAACCTTTGTGTCTTTTTTAGACAAAGTCAGAACAGAGAGATGTCGACATTGAGAACCAAAAACATGGAGTTAGACTCAGAGGTGGAGAGATTAAGAAGGCAACTCACTAGTGAGAGATTTGAAAAGTAAGACAGTGATTTTTTTTCTCATTGGTGGTGAAAACCACCTTTGTGTCTGTTTGAGGTAGACATGTTTTTATACATACAATATCATTTCTTAATTAAAAAATCAATTTTTCTTTGTTACTTATTTATTTCCTCACAGAGGCCAGAATATAAGTTATTTGCTGATATTTTGAGTTTACTTGGTAAATATTTTTATGGTACAAAGGAAATATTAAAAAATCTAAAACTTTGACCTTGATATTTATGGTATTTTTATTAGGTGTATATATTGATTGTTCAAGATACCAGAAAAAGTTCTCACATTGATATCTATTTCAGAGAACGCACAGTGCAGGAAATGCGGCGACATGGCCTCACTCCTCCCGCAGACACGTCAGGGCGAGCAATGTCGCGTAGTTCACTCGGTCGCAGTTCCACCCCAGCCCGTAGAGTATCCAGCCCAACAAGGTAGTACTGCTTAGAACCAAGCTATGAACTTCTTTGTACCTCAGTTGCCCACATTTCTGCAGTCATATTTCATATTTGTTGCAGATGTGAGGGCAACAGGCTTAATGCTATCTTCTGCTTTGTAGAACCTCTGTGAAAACTATATGAACTATGTGATATAATATCATACTGTAATCTTGCTAGTTTTAATGCTTGGGTGTAGCATTACACAGTACTGTGTCTTAAATTTTGATACTAGTATCTTGTTGCTTACTGCTACATGTGTGACTTCTGCTCTAGCTACCTTGACTGAATAGGAGAGTAAAATGACAAAACTTTCTCCACAGGTCAATTCTCAGGTCACCTGAAAGAAGGAGGTCACCAGAGAGAGTGACCATCAGGTCTCCACGGAGTCATTCCAGAGCTGAGGTAATGGGGATAGACATACATGCACGTATGCATGCACACACACACGCGCGAGCGCACACACACACACACACACACACATGCATGCTCGCGCATTCTGTGATGGACTACCTATGGAAAAAATGTTGTAGTGCACCATATTTTCTCTATATAGTATTATTTTCCCTAGGTCCAGAACTGGAGTCACTTGTAAACCAACCATGTGTCATGTATATTGTCTGTTGCAGGGTGTTATGTTCTTTGTAATGTCCAGTCTTTGACTAGCCTATAAGGGTCTGTACAGAAACATGATAACCATCACAATCTGTGCATTTAGGTGTAAATGATATCATCATGATTGTTATTGTAAGTGACTGGCTGGGGATCTTAACACATGCATGCACACATGCATACAATCACCGAGCACGTGCACACACACACACACACACATTAAATTTCAACTCCAATTTCAATTACCATTACTGTGATGGGCACTTTTCGTGATCTTTTTGATAGAGTTCTAGCATGGAGAACTATGTCCTGCTATAAAGCATGGGTTAGTTCTGTATAATTATAGCTCATTGTACTACTTGTTCTCATGCAGTTAGGCTGTCTCGTCTTAAACTTAAACACTCCTTACATAATTGGTCTGAGAGGCTCTACTGGTACTGCTTCAAGTGTTAACAAAAGAAGACACATGTAGTATTGTTTGTCCAGATGTTATTTATGTTACTACAACAAATCTGACAGTTGTTTTGTTTTAAATTTAAAAAGTGCAACCGTTTAAATCTTCAGGATTGACAGTAGTACTCCAGCAATACAAGAGCCATGAAAAGCAAAGGTACATTCAGCATGGCACTGGTTTGGCTGCTGAACACTATGCACTCACAGTTGCTTGTACTTTGATTTGCTGTTTTGGTTTTCAGTTGCAATTCTCTGCACCGATGCAAGACTAAATATTTTTTCCACAGCATTTTTTACATGTAATATGTAGTGTTTGCATGTCTTCACTGGTGACTCTTAATTCTGGAGTAGTACCAGACTGTTGTTTGTTTGGCATGCTTCCTAACACCATTGGCCCAAGCTGGTAAATTATACTTAGCTTACATTGTTACTATCAGCAATTGGACACCTATTTATGATACTAATTGACATCATATTTAAGCTCCAATACTTCACTGCCCCCCCCCCCCCCCAATCATGACCTTTGAAATATTCCACATTTAGTATACTGAGTTTTAATTATGTTATGATTAACAATTTCGACTAACACCGAGATATTTTGCCATTGTTTGAATCAGCACACAGTTAAATATGTAAGAGTCCGTAAGAACAGAGCTTTATTTCTACCTTGTTTTTGCATGTAGAGGGAGGAGGATGGTTGGGAGGAAGAGATAAAGGGAGACATACAAATTATTAGTAAGTTTTTTTGGGGGAAGTAGCAGTGCATTGACTTGGTTGGAGTCTCCCTTTCCATTTCTTGCTATTCCATCTTTAGTTTTTGCCGTATCTTTTCTGGCGAAACCTCTTTAAGTTTGTTTCTGATAATGTGCTGTCATATTTTTGAAATAACGCCAATTTTTTAATACCTTTGGTGATTTGGAATTGATTTATGATTTTGTTCCTGTCCCATTATTTTTGACTAACTAGTAAGTGTGCGGTAGTTGCTTTAGCACTTATTTATCACCTTTGTGTAGATTTGGATCATTATTTCATTCAAATATTGCATAAATTTCCAACAGCTTAAAGCAGCATCTACACAGAGAACTGTGCAATGCAGAAAGTATGGTCCAAATGAAACGAACTTCATGTGTGAGAAGTATGGCAACAAGTTTTTTTTTTCAATTTTGATTTGAAAATAACACCATGTCCTTGTTAAGATATCCTATGTTGTGTGCTACTTGGATGGAGCTCATTTCTTACTACAGTAACTGTGTGTAAATGCTACTTATGTTGTTAATTCATTTTACTGTGGCTTTTATTAACCTTACACTATAATGTATACACAATGACTGATGATTTGTCCAATTTGTGTTTAACCCAACATCAGAACCTTTCTGCACTGCACCTCTACTGATGTGTTGTCAAAGGAGGGGTGTGTACTTAGTTGGATTACATCTGTGATTTAGTTTTTGTCCAAGTCAAATTAGCGTGTCTTCTTTATGGCCCTTTTTACATCATGGGGTATACTTTAGCAATACAGTCTGTGTCAGTACAGTTTGAGAGATCCTAAAATGTAGCTACACTACAGGGGATTTTACTCGCAAGTTTACTCACTTGCCTTGTTGAGCAAGGTAGGCTCTGTTTGGAGACTCTCTTATGTGGCAGCTGAACTATTGAGTTATCAGTCTCTAGTCTCTAGAAACGTACTGGTACAGGGTGTATTGCTTGTACCTCTTCATGTGAAAAAGACCTCTCACAAGTAAAAACGATTTGGAATTTGGTGACTGATGATACCCTGTGTTGTTTCAGTTGCTAGAAAAAACAGTTTGTGGTAATACTTTGTAGGGGCTATACTATAAATTATTTCATGACATTCCCTTTGTAAATGACACTGAAGAAATAGCTCTTTATCTGACCATTGTGACCAGGAGTACTGTTTTTCTTTTCAGGAAGAAGTCCCACTGAATAAATCCCTGCTGGACTGGATAGAGGATACTGACCAGGCTGTGGCTGAGATGACTTCTGTGTAGGATATTTATTGTTAAATCTGGATAACGGATACCAGACTGTGGCTGAGATGACTTCTGTGTAGGATAACTATTGTTGAATCTGGATAACGGATATCAAGCTCCGGCTGAGATTACATCTGTGTAGGATACTGTTTTTGAATCGTGGTAACGGATACCAAGCTGTGGCTGAGATGACATCTGTGAAGGATAACTGTTGTTGAATCTGGATAACGGATACTAAGCTGTGGCTGAGATTACTTCTGTGTAGGATACTGTTGTTGAATCAGGATAACGGATACCAAGCTGTGGCTGACATGATATCTGTGTAGGATACTGTTGTTAGTGTGTATAATGGATACTGGCCAGGCTGTAGCTGATATGACACCTGGATAATGGATATTGACCTAATTGTTGATGATATGAAACTGTTTAGGATATGGATATTAATATGGGTAACAGATACTAGCAAAGTTGTGGATGATATGACACCTGGATATTGGATATTGGCCAAGCAGTGGCTTAGGTGACATCTGTTAAGGAGACTGATGTTAATGTGGATAATGGACACTGACCAGGCTGTATCTGAGATGATATCTGCCTAGGATACTGCAGTTTATGTGGATAACGGATACTGATTGGGCTGGTATCGACATGATACCTGGATAATGGATATTGGCCAGGCTGTGACTGATATGACCTCTGAATAATGGATGCTGATCAGGCTATCAGGTTGGATACATATGCCTTGCCTGAGAGAGAGAGCAAGGACCAGTGACTGAGGCAGTTTGAATACATCGTGTTGGTTTTGTGCAGAAAAAATAACTGTATGAAGTCATGCATTATGTTTGACAGTCCATAACTGAGTCATTCACTTTGTAAAACCCAAGTGACCTAGTATGAGTGACAAAAAAGGCTCTGTACTAATTGAAATGGAAGATCTCACAGCAGTATTTTTAAAACAAGATTTAGTGGGGGTTTTTTTAAAGTGATTTATATTTTTAAAATTTGTAATTTTAATATCCGTCAGAGAGTCATTTTGGTAAAAGTCACAGTAAATGGTGTAACGTTGGGTTCTCCCAGGCCAGTGAATTAAGCGGTATAGTGTGCGTGGTTTGGAATAGTGACTCCCTACAGGCAGGATAGCGCCATTAAATTGTGGTATGCATGAGGAATATTTACAGCTACGTGGAATACATGCCGCCTTTGTGTGGTCAATTAACATATATACGACCACAAATGTAACAGCTCCAACTGCGAAGGCAGCAATTTCTTCAGGTCACTTGATGCTATCTATGCATGGAGAACTAACAGAAGCAGGGAGTTGAGGAGGACGCTTTGTCTGGAAGACTGGACGGTATTCTGACCGTGGTTAACATTGCGGTGATGTCTTGTCCACTTAAATGAGACTACTTCATGCTACGTCCACTGCCATGCCGGATTTTCACACTCAGGACAATCAACAGCCAATAATAACGTACATATATCTTATGACGTGTAGAATTTAATCATTGAATTTTTAGGATTTATACTATGATCATATAATACATGTAAATCTGTGATTCCAGTGTTTTTTTTTTATTGCGATGTGAACTTGTATTTGGCACGTTATTTTGTGCATTTTAACGCGTGCCTTAAATTAAGTATTTGTAAACATGAAAACCCTTGTCTTATGTTTTAAGGGTATGATAGTTCACAGAGTTCACAGAAATGTCATTTTTAAATCATTGAATGTATATTTTATAGTTTTATGTTCGTTGAGTTTTCATTTATTCGTCTATGTTTTCTCCCCATTTCACGTTATGGAAATACAATTATTTAAACCACGTATGGTACGATGGTATTTATGTGTACAGATAATTTTAAACGCTTACAAATACTGCATGCATTTACTGAGTGTAGATATTTTATTATTTTATGAATAAATCTAATTGTTTGATAAAAACGCACTTTTTGCTCTCTGTGAATGACGACATCGCTCTGTGGCTGTTTCGCTGTCACGTGTAGCCGAAAAAATAAGGGCGTTCCGCCTGATGACCGTTGCTTCTAGACGTTTTTTTGCAGTCGGCTGCGGCTAGCCAAGATAGAGAAACGCCTACAACAGGGCAGCAATTTCAGTTGGGTTCTTTGTATAAAAAATGCCATTTATCCCTTAGTTGAGCCAACCTGATGAATGGTACAAAAGTATGATCAAATTTTGGCTTGGAGCGGACCTTTTGAAACTCGTCCCCCTCCACCCTGCCCCCACCCCACCACTTGCACCTATGTGTCTGTACTTGTATTCACGCGACCCGTTTTGAAGTAAATAACAAAAAAAAAAAACAAAAAAAAACGGCATTTGAAGTCAGACAGAGAAAACAATATAAACTGCTATATATATATCAATTTATTTGGATAATAATAATAATCAATGCATGCATCTTAGAGCTGTCCGAGTTTGGTGCGTGCTTTTAACATGGCCACGTGCGTCTATGGACAGGCAGCATGTGGGGCGTACGCTATCATGCTTAGAAAAATAAGTCCTGTCATAAGTCCTATCACTAAATCAGTTACACCTTACACCCTTGTCCATTCACGCTTAGGGTGTATCATGTCCACTGAGAAGCAGTATCTACTGTCCCTGTTTCATTGACGTTGGAAACAAATCGCTCTTGTCACGTCACTGAAAGGAAACCTGTGCCTGTAGCGATACTATAGAGCCAGCTACAATGTACAACACAGTGCTCTTAGGAAATTCTTTTTAATAAACGAGAAGTACTAAAAGTTGGATAGATTTGATTCCATAAGGATTTTTCCTGCCAAAATGGATTTTTCTCGTGGAAAAAGAATTTTCTCCTAACGAATCATTGCTCGACCCGTCTCTGCAAGTAGCCTGAAGAAACGGACAAAACGGACAAAAAACTCATAACTTTCTTTTCAATTCAGCGGCCCATGCCACTTAAACTTATTTAACCTGTGCCCCGTCAAATTCACAAATAAAATATTCTAGATCAATTTAGGCAAATGAAAACGACAAAGACGCATTTTAAATAAACCACAATCACTTTAAAAATTACACATTGGTGGCTATATTACAATTGGCATATTTTATTACAGAAAATACTTAGAATACTTAGATTAACACATTCCTCAAACATATTTGAGGAAGAGCTTTTTAAGAGAGCTTTGTTACAAAACAAATATTTCAGTTAATATATAGGCTTATGCTTGTGGTTTCCTATTAGTATCAGGTTATTAGTGTTATTAGTGGTACTCGCATGTGCCAAGTCATCTTCACCGTCTGACTCCCTCAGAGTGTATACTTAAAATGAAAACCTATTAGGCGACAAAGTCCCTTTTATTCCTTTGTTGTTTATTTTTTTCATGATTAGATAGTACACGAGACTTAGATGCGCAAAGCTTTAATAAGCCGTCCCTGAGTACAAATGTTTCAATATACAGCAGGGTTATATAAGGCAGGAGTCTAGGAGGATGTAAGGCGGGCTCACCTGTTAGAAGTCTTCAGATAGCTGCAGTGGTCTCTTGAAGGAACCAGGCAGCGGCGCTGGATATTTGACGTGATACAAAGTGAAACGATTTCCATCAAAACTGTACAGGAAAACAATGGGCCCAAAACGATTCATCTTAGCTTTCCTTGCGATTGTTTCCGTTGGAGCCGCTTCAGCCCAGAAAGAAGGAATCAGATACTTGCTGTTGGACTACAGCCCCGATGTTCTTTCTGAAGAGGTGCATGGGTTAGATGAGCAGCCGCCATTGAGTGGAGTGCCAGAGTTCGGGGAGCTCCCTGAGGAAGAAGAAGAAGAAGAGAAAGAGGAGAAGCTGAGTCAGAGCACAGGACCAAGTGCCGAAACCTCAGATGACAGGGCCTTCGTGGTCCCGCTCCGTGTCCAGCTGCGTGGGCAGTACGGCAGTCCAATGGCCTACAGTATGTATACAGGGGGGCTGAGGAGATACGTGGACATCTATAACCGCGTCATCGGGAACAGGCAGAGATACAGGGGCCAAAAATACGCCGCCACTTACAACTACTAGTGATGATAATACTGGGTGAGTTGTGTGATTTAACTTCTTCTTCTTCTTCTCTCTCTCTCTCTCTCTCTCTCTCTTTCTCTCTCTCTCTCTCTCTCTCTCTCATGAAATGCATATTTTATACATACATAGATGGATATGTATATTGCTACTTTTCCCGAAATGCCTTTCAATACTTGTCAATAACCGTCTTCATCTAGTCTGATTTATGCACGCCTTTTTGAAGTGACGCGTGTATCATGAGATGTATTTTTGATAGAAAAAATGTCATGAGTGGTTTTTAACGCGAACATTTTGTTTGTCTTTTATGAGATGTGTATTGTTATTATAAACTCAAATTTCAGGTTTCAGCCAGCCAACACCTTATACTGGATAACTGAACCAACCCGAGTTACGTACCCGTGCCCCATTACTTCTGAAGATGAACTCATTTAACAAGAAGGTCTGATTGGTATTTTTCGTGACTGTGAACGCCACCACAACATTCGATGTTTCCGACTGTAATGAAAAATTACATTTGGGAATTTTTCCGGGCAAAACATCAGCACTGTACCCATTTGAGTCATTTCAATGGTAGTTGCTTCCAGATTCCAAACATACAAAAACTGCGTGGAAAACGAAACAGATTGATGGACCTTTGGGAATGATAAAAATGAACTATGGTCTCTTTTCTTGAATACTGTACTTTTTATATACAATGCATAAATAAGGAATCGACTAGGGAGAGGGAAGCAAAGTAAAACTATTTTATCTTAATTCTGTAAGCCCTTAAAAATAAACAATAAAGACCGTAACATTCTGAAGTCAAACTTTCAGAATCTAATAACATTTTTTATATAATTTATAATTGTAATTGTCTTAAGTGTAAATAAGATGAAATCTATTACACTAAAGGCATTGTTTAACTTTATTAAAATGAACATTATTATTATTATTGTGTGATACTTGTTGTTTTTCATGTAAGGCCAAAAGATGCATTATGTATACACGTACGATGTAACGTATAGAGAGTGCTGGCATGAAACACTGCTCTCTGAACATCATACTATTATATCATAAAAAGTGCTAAAAGTGGTATCTCAATCTCTCCGTACTTTGCTTGATAAATTTGTACACGTAATTTTTTGTAAAGACAAAGATCTAATCGATATTCCGCACGCCAGTAAGCTGCTTTTTCGATATGAACTTAGTAAATCATTGCAACGAACATACTCAAATGCAATCTACGTGGCTTTCATTTATGTGAATAAATATAAAATATAAATATATAAATATAAAATTTGATTCACACCTCACTCCACAACCCACTACTGAGTTTTCATATCCATAATAAGGCTAGAAGAGACATCGGTATATTAATCTTAACAGAGGGATTTTGATAGTGTTTTTGCTTGATTTTTCCCTGTAGCCACTCTAGCCATATGTATTTATTCAGGGCACTGTCATCCAAATGTGTGAATATGTTTTGCTCCCTACGAAATAAAGTGTCACTTTTGGACCCCGAATTGCAACTTTTTTAAAGTTTCAATTTTTAAATTAAATTCAATTAAAATTTCCGTTTCTATTGATTCAGTGGGTAGGCTTATATCAGTCATATTTCTTTTGAATCACAAAATTTTCTTTCATTTGTCACGAATAACTTAAATGTTTATGTTTATAAAATAACTAAATGAGTGTTAGTTTGTATTTGTGTGCGCACGTGTGTGCGCGTGTGTGGTTTGGGTCGGGTGCTTGTGATTGCAATCAACAAACCTATTGCCTTTCTGCGTAAAGAATTGGTATTATTCAGTCTTTTTTGCAATATGTAATAAAACACTATCTAAACGATCGCATTAGAATCCTTCTTTTGTTCTTTGTTCTTGGTTCTTCTTTTAAATTGCTATTGTGACATTCTTTTGATTAAGTTAAGATTTCCGCCCTCTAGAGATTGGTATCTTCTACCGATTTCGAAAACTAAACGATTGACGAAAGGCACTCAAGACTCTGCACCCTGTGACACCCGGAAAAAAACTCTAAAAGTCAATGTCGAAGATTTATACACGCTCCCGATTAAGCACGTTGTCTACAGCATTTGAATAGTGAAGACAATTTTTACAGTTTAAAAAATTTGCATGCTCTGAGGCTGATGCCCCCCACCCCCGCCAACTGCCCCAGCCTTCCAAAACAGAATGGCGGATTCAACCCCAGTCAATAACCAAAAGAGAAGATCATATCAATAGGACTCAACTCTTCCCAGTGAACTATATGTTCGTTAAATCCGAGATAACTGTTCCTCAACGTCATAATGAATCTATATCTGGCATAAAATGATATTGTAGGATACAAACTATTACATGTCAAGACGTGAAAATTGTGTTGGGTGTGGTTACCATTGTGGCGGTGTTAATTCGTTAAAATGAATGTTCTATA